AGAGGTTACAGAGATAGGGAGGGAGGCAGTGGAAGGATTTGAACAGAGGGAGCTGAGCATTTAAAGTGGAGGTGCTTCCAGAGGATGAGCACAGCGTGGAGACTGAGGGTGGAGCTGCTGATGGTCTATAGGGATTGCAGTACCAGTGAGGCATTTTGGATGAACTCAGCTTCCAGCAGAGTACGGGGCAACATTGACTGTGTGTGAAAAGTGGAATCTGAGAGTTTCATTATCTGGCACCATGAGGCAGGGGAGGTGTCAGATGACAGGAATGGAAGTAGATGGTTTTGATGATGACAGGGGAATGGGGTCAAAAGCTCAGCCTAGGGTTGGATTGGGCACCAAGCTTGCGAACAGTTTGATTGAACCTCGGGCATTAACTGGGCTGAGAATTATGGAGTCTACATGTGTGTGCACACGCACATACACCCGCACACGTACACACGCACGCACGCACACGCACACAAGTACACACGTAGAGTCATAGAGATGTACAGTACAGAAACAGACCCTTTCATCCAACTTGTCCATGCTGACCAAATATCCTACATTAATCTAGTCCCATTTGCCTGTATTTGGCCCATATCCCTGTAAATCCTTCCTATTCATATATACCCATTCAGATGCCTTTTACATGTCAGTGTACCAACCTCTAGCACTTCGTCTGGCAGTTCATACCATACACACACCACACTCTGCGTGAAAATGTTACCCTTTAGATCTATTTTAAATCTTTCCCCTCTCACCTTAAACCTATGCCCTCTAGTTTTGGACTCCCCTACCTTGGGAAGAGACCTTGGCTGTTCACCCTGTCCATGTCCCTCATGATTTTATAAACCTGTATAAGGTCATTGGAATTACTACACAAATATATACGTGAATAAATATATATGTGTGTACATACACACACACACACACACACACACACACACACACACACCCATACACCCAATGGCAGACAATGAATAATGTTTGAGGATCTTGAACACATTCGTTTAATTCCCAAAATCTGGAATACTGAAGACATTGATGGGCAAAGGTTGGAGGCCGGGGACTCAGCGCTGATCCAATATAGTGTCAGGGTGAGGGTGGGGTGGAATCAAAGCCCTGGGGAGATATCTATCCTGGGTGCCTCAGCCCAGCAGCTGGTGCTTCGACCCCATTAATCCCCCTTTTTAATAAAGCATCTGTTACGATGATTTCACTTTTTTCTGCCCAGTTCAGGTTTGTGACATCATCACGGTCATGAGGCTTTGTAAGATGAAACAATTCATTACAACTCTTTGCTTAGCAACATGGAATGAGGAGTGTCATGGCATTATCATCTTCCAGGTCATGAATGACCTGACTTCACTGCCATTGTGACAAGGCAGGGATATATCCCATTGTGAGATTCTGAGCCAGCTCCTTAGGAAATAATGCCCCAGCTCGATCCCAGTTTGACTCCTCCATACCCGAGGATGGCAGATGGAAGCTCCTGAGTGCTAATAAGTATGCCAAACCTCTACGCTTTGGGAAGACAAAGAAGAATGGGAGCAGCAGCCAGGAAAAGCTATCAGCCAACTGAGAGAGATAGGACCAGGAACTTTCTTTTCAATGGTAATGTGTCACACCTTTGGGAAGCTCAAAGGGTTTTAATCAACTGCTGCATTCACCTTAAGTTGTGGAGAGAGAGTTGAGACTATTTCCCAGGCTGAGCAAGCCCACAGGAGGTTAGAATTACATGGGATTTATAACTGATTGGCCAAGTGGGCAGGCTCCTCATTAACTTCCTCCCACTTTCTTCCATTTCACCTTGGGAACGTATTCCTTTCTGCCTCCTGGGTTTCTATTTTTAGCCTCCCCATAAAGAGAGTAAATTGTTTTAACCAGTCCCCGAGATATCAAGACCCACATTCCCAATAATCTCTCAGTAAACTTGTTTCTTCTGAATCTATGTTGGATTTATTGGTGACTTTCTTCCATATATAGGCCTTCCTAGTTTTGGTCTTCCCCAAGAGTAGAGAAACCTTCTCTTTGTCTACCCCGCCAAACCTTTTCATCACTTCAAATTTTGAAGGGTCTTAATTTACGAGCATAAAGCGTGCAGCCTGTTTTGGGACATGCCCTTTTGAAGGTTCTGGCAAAGAAAGAGGCCAGTCTTACTTGTGGATGATCTTTTATGTGTTGCTTCTCCCTTCACTCCCTTTCTTTCCATATCACTGTATCCATTCCTGCTTCAAACTGTAACCAATCGTCCAATAAAAATGTCTTGATTCAGACATTTCCCTGTGGCAAGGTGATCCAGGCTCCAACAATTCCCTGTAGACAATTTTAAGAACAGAAGACATAGAAATAGGCCATTCAGCCCCTCAGGTCTGTTCCACCCTTCAACAAGATGGTGGCTGATCTGATAACCGTCAATTCCACTTTCCTGCCATTTCCCTCTAGCCCTTGATTCTCTTACTGACTAAAAATCTGTCTGAGTCAGCCTTGAATATACTAAATGAAGCAGCCTCTACAGCCCCCTGCAGTAAAAAAAAAAATTCCACAGATTCACAACTCTCTGAGAGAAGAAATTCCTCCTCATCTCTGCCTTAAACGTGCGATCCGTTATTCTGAGATGATGCCCTCTGGTCCTAGACTCTCCCACAAGGGGAAATAACCTCTCTGCATCTACCTTGTTTATATGTTTCAATAAGGTCTCCTCTCATTCTTCTAAACTCTAATGAATACAGGCCCAACCTCCTCAACCTCTCTTCATAAGACAGTCCCTGCGGTATCAGCCAAGTGAACTTTCTCTGGACTGGCTTTTAATGCCAGTCTATCTTTCGGGAGGTAAAGAGTTCAAAACTGCTCCCAGTGGTCCATCTGTGATCTGACTTGTACCTTTGATAGTTTTAGCAAAACCTTCCTACTTTTATATTCCATTTCCTTTTGAATAACCTATTGAACTCTGATGTTCACTTTTTGTGATTTATGCACGAGGAATCCCAAATCCTTCTGTGCCGCAGCTTTCTGTTACCTTAATCTTGCTCTCCATTTGAGAATTGTCAATAAATTTCTGTATCAAAAAATATTCTTTCCCTGTATTCACCCCATTTGTAACTTCACATCTTCACTTTTTGTAACTTTTAAAATTTAACGGTATAATCCCTAGACCGGAGGACCCAGATAATGTTCTAGGGCCCCAGGTTTGAATCCCACTATGGCAGATAGTGGAAATTAAATGCTATAAAAGTCTGGAATTAGGAGTCTGATGACGGTAATGAAGCATTGCTGATTTTTTGGAAAACCCAAGTGGATCTTGAACAAAAACCGAAGAAACTGTGGATGCTGTAAATGAGGAACAAAAAGAGAAATTGCTGGAAAAGCTCAGCAGCTCTGGCGTCATCTATGGAGAGAACTCGGAGTTAATGTTGCAGGCCGAGTGACCTTCCTCAGGACCTCTAATGTCCTATTGGGATGAAATCTGCTGCCTACGTTGCTCGAGAAACGCAGTGGGTCACGCAGCATCTGTGGAGAGAAAGCAGAATTAATGTTTTGGTTCTGGTGACCCTTTAAAATCTCTTTATTCTTCTCTGCAGTTAATGGCATTCTACCGTCCCAAACACCTTCCATTTTCCAGTCTGCGGTACCCAAAGGGAGAGAGAGAAAGAGATCCTTCCCTGCTCTAATGGGAATATTTCAAGTTTCTACTTCAAATTGCAGCTTCCCATCCCTGCTGAAATCATTGAAGTGAATTCACAGCTTTAATTTTGACTTGTCACTTGTGGCTCAGTGGGTAGCAGTCTCACTTCTGAGTCAGAAGATTGTGGGTTTAAGTCACACTCCAGGCATTTGGAGGAAATGTTTGTGGCAGACCCTCCCCGTGTGGTGGGAGTATTTCTGCTGGGATGTAAAACAAAAATCACTTCTGTTTTTGCAAATGAATGCAAGCATAAAGTACAACTGAAAATGGGGCAAGTGCGTTCTCCCTGGTACCCCTGACCATTGTTTAAGCCTCAGGCAACACCTCTCGAGCAATTGCTGTCTGTGCTATCTTCCTCAGGTCAGAGTGACACCAACAGCGTGGGTTCAATTCCAGCAGAGGCTGAGGTTATCATTGAAGGACTCTCCCCTTGCCTGAAGCATGGTGACCCTCGGATTAAACTACCACAACCTGTAATGAGAGAACATCCCTACGGTTCTCTGGGACCATGGAGGTTTTTTTTTGCTTACTCGGGGTAAAGCTAGCTGTCACATCATGACTATGCTTCGCAAGTGCATGGCTTTGTCCTATGTTCTCTAACGCTCTCTTTGACAACAATGAGGGGCTTAAATATGGACACAGCTCGATCTGTTTCTCTGCACCAGTGGAACAGTCTGAAGTTTCTTGGTAAAAGTTGTAGCCATATCGCTGTTGTGTGTATTCCTGCCCTTCCTGGTATCTTGCTGGAAGTCAGAGTTATGTAAACAGCCCCTGTCAGGGATGTGGGACACCTTGGCCATCCCTGGACTAATCACACATGCCGGGGAGTAGGGCAGCTTTCTGCTTGTAAATACAGAGAATTACCAGCAATAACCATCACTAGGTGGAACAGAAAGTTCGGAATTGCGAGTTGAAAGTGTAGATTCTGATCTTTGACTTGAAATCTCTCATCCCTCCCTTTCTTTGTAACCCATTCTGTCCGTCCGAGATCACTGCTTTCCTTCAATTTGGACATTTACCCAGCCCTTGTTTTACAGGAACCAGGGCCTTGAGATCAGTAAGGGATTACCCTCAGTAAAATCTTCTCCCCCTTCTTTCAAACACAATTCTTTGACTTAAATTTTAGTCACATGCCTTTAACATCTCGTGCAGCTCGGTGTCGGGTTATGTTTGGTGAAGATTTTTTGAGACATTTCTCTAATGTTAAAGGTGCTAAATAAATGCACATTGTTGTTTTTTGACCAAATCTAACCCTGCTGTTCAGCTCCGGCACATCACAGGAATGTGTAATGTAAAGCCACCTTATTTTAAACTCTCTTCTTTCCGATAGATGGAAATGCTGAGACGACATGCAGAAATGGACACACGATACACGCTGTACCCATCACATTAGAACCAACAGCAGAAAGCATGACTGAAGCTGGCTCAACAAACCCAGCCCCTCCACTGCCAGACCCAGGTAATTCTTTATTCAACTGATGTGATGGTAAGCTACTTGGATCCAACAGAAGCTGAACCTGGACATGCTTATGCACAATGGGTGCTACGCAATGACTTTGTCTCACCATCTGCGTGCGCTGATCCTGAACTCAACTACAATTTATTTTGTTTACTTCAGAGAGAATTATATGGGAAAGCTGGGATCGTTCTCCTCATAGGGATCCTCAGGACTGAGATGAGGAGGATTTACTTCACTCAGGGCTGGTGAATCTTTGGAAATCTCTATCCCAAAGAGCTATGGAAGCTCAGTCATTGAGCAGGTTCAAGATGGAGACCGTTACATTTCTAGATATTAAAGATATGAAGGGATATAGGGATGGGGCAGGAAATAACAATGAGGGCTGAATGGCCTCCCCCTACTAATTAGCATGCTGTTATAGCAAGGAGAGTTGAGCAGAGTGTTAATGTTGCTGCTTTAATAGAGTAGACAAGGAGAAACTGTTTAGAATGGCAGCAAGATCAGTAACAAAGGAACACCATTTTCAGACAATTAGCAAAAAGACCAGTGAGGGAAAGATCATTGGAATTTTTTTATGCAACAGGTTGTAAATTGTGAATAACAGGTGGAAGCAGATTTTCATAGCTGGAACATTAACCTGAGAATTGGAAGGTGGCCTAGTGGTAATGACTCGGGATGAGTAATCCAGAGATTCTAATGCTCTGGGGGCTGAGTCCACAATGGCGAATTGTTGCAAATTAAATTCAATTAAAATAATCAGGAATTGAAAGATAATCTCCTCATAACAGTGACCAGGCCATTTGTGATTAATTATTGTTAAAGACTTGTCTGGCTCACTGAAGTCCTACAGGGAAGGAAATCTGCCATCTATACCCGGTCTGGTCTCCATGTGATTCCAGACCCACAGTAATATGTTCTGATGAAGGGTCACCGGACCTGAAACATTAACTCTGTTTTCTCCTTCACAGATGCTGCCAGACCTGCTGAGCTTTTCCAGCAACTTCGTTTTTGTTCCACAGTAATATGGTTGACTCTCGCCTTGCAAACCATTCAATTCAAAGGCAATTAGGGACAGGCAACAAATACTGGCCTTGCCAGTGATGCCCATATCCTATGAAAGAGAGAAGTTTGTAGGATTATGGTGTGAAAGCAGGGGGAGTGGGGTGACGTTGGACAGCTCCCTGGGCTAATTTACCTCCTTCTGTGCTACATTATTCAATAAGTCCGTGAGGGTTTTGGAGTCAGATGGTTTGTCAGGTCAGGGCTGTAGGAGGTCAGAAGTCACATGACACCAGGTTATGGTCCAACAGGTTTGTTTGAAATCACAAGAGTATAAATCCTGAGAAGATGAATTCAAATTCCATGATCAGAATTTGAAAAATACATCTGCTGATGTAAAACTGATATCAGTGGCCATGATAATGGAACAGTTGCATGTTGTAAACTCCTCACCTCCCTGTTCTTCAGGGAATGCAGGCTGCTATCTCATTGTGTGACTTCAGCTAACACCAATCAAGTTTGGCTACTTTGGAAAGTAGAAAAGCTTTGTCCAGCTCCTCTGGACAATGAGACATGAACAGTAAAGTCCCAACCTTGCCAGTACTCCGCTCAGGAGAATGAGCAAGTCGCCTGGTTATCACTCTGTTCAAGCTCTGTCTCTCATTGACCATTGAGGGGTGCCCAAATGAGGCCTCACTGTCTGTCTTCAGGTACCACATACCGCTGGCACTTGCGTTAATACTGGAAGTGGCAGTCGATGGATAACTCCCCTTCCTACCTTGTGCCACCTAAGGAGTCTTTTACAATTCATTTTTGGGAAGTAGACATCACTGACCAAGCCATCATTTATTGCCCATTGCTCAGGGTCTGGAGTCACATATAGACCAGACCAGGTGAGAACAGCAAATTTCCTTCCCTAAAGGACATAGTGAACCAGATGGGTTTCTACACCAATTAACAGTGGTTACCATTAGACCAGTTCCATCTTCCAGATTTTATTGAATTCAAATTTCATCATCTGCATGGTAGGATTTGAACCCATGTCTTCCAAGTATTATCCTGGAGTCTGGATTATCACTCCAGTGACATTACCATAGTGTCTTCACCTCTTCATCTATTGCTATCAGACTGAAGCCTCTTGAACGTGAAGAGGATCATAGTTGGAGGGAGGTCACTGTGGGGAGAAATAAAACAGTTTCTTGATGCCCATTAAACAAAACAGGATAGCGTGCTCATCTCCCTGAGTCTCTGAGCTGAGGCATGAAAGGCACAGAGCAACATTGGAGTGCAAGGGAGCTTAAGATGAAAGAACCCTTAGGAGGCAGTGATCATAATATGATTGAATTTACTCTGCAATTTTGAGAGAGACAAGATAGAATCAGAGGTAATGGTATTACAGCTGAATAAAGGCAACTACAGAGACGTGAGGGAGGAGCTGGGCAGAATTGACTGGGAGAGGAGTCTAGCAGGAAAGGCAGTGGAACAGCAATGGCAGGAGTTTCTGGGAGTAATTCAGGAGACGCAGCAAAAATTCATCCCTAGGAAAAAGAAGCATTGTACAGGGAGGATGAGGTAACCATGGCTGACTAGGGATAGCATAAAAGCAAATGAGAAAGCATATAATGTGGCGAAGGGCAGTGGGAAACCAGAGGATTGCAAAGCTTACAAACACCAACAGAGGGAAACAAAACAAGAAATAGGAGGGAGAAGATTAAATATGAGGGTAATGAGAATTATTACTTTGCGTCATTCTTCACAGTGAAAGACACGAGTAATATCCCAAAGATTCAAGAGAGTCCGGGGGCAGAGCTGAGTATGGTGGCCATCGCCAAGGAAAAGGTGCTAGTAAAACTGATTGGCCTGAAGGTGGATAAATCACCAGTACCCAGATGGACTACACCCCAGAATTCTAAAGGAGATAGCTGAAGAGATAGTGGAGGCATTAGTGGTGATCTTTCAGGAATCGCTAGAGTCAGGGAAGGTCCCAGAGGACTGGAAAATCGCTAATGTGTGACATCCCTGTTTAAAAAGGGAGTAAGGCAAAAGATGTAAAATTACGGGCCCATTAGCCTAACCTCGGTCATGGGCAAGATTTTAGAGTCCATTGTGAAGGATGAGATTTCTGAATATTTGGAAGTGCATGGTAAAATAGGGCTAGGTCAGCATGGTTTCATCAAGGGGAGGTCATGCCTGACAAATCTGCTAGAATTCTTTGAGCAAGTAACGAGCAGAGTAGACCAAAGAGAGCCAATGGGTGTTATCTACCTGGACTTCAAGAAGTCCTTTGATAAGGTACCACACAGGAGGCTGCTGAGTAAGATAAGGGCCCATGGTGTTAGAGGCAAGGTGCTAGCATGGATAGAAGATTGGCTCTCTGGCAGAAAGCAGACAGCGGGGATAAAAGGGTCTTTCTCAGGATGGCAGCCAGTGACAAGTGGCATTCCTCAAGGGTCAATGTTGGGACCACAACTTTTCACTTTATACATTAATGATCTAGATGAAGGAACTGTGGGCATTCTGGCTAAGTTTGCAGACGATACAAAGATAGGTAGAGGGACAGGTAGTATTGAGGAGGTGGCGAGGCTGCAGAAGGATTTGGACAGGTTAGGAGTGTGGGCAAAGAAGTAGCAGATGGAGTACAACATGGGAAAGTATGAGGTCATGCACTTGGGTAAGAAGAATAAAATCATGGGCTATTTTCTAAATGGGGAGAAAATTCAGAAGTTTGAAGTGCAAAGGGACCTGGGAGTTCTAGTCCAGGATTCTTTCAAGGTAAACTTTCAGGTTAAGTCGGTAGTTAGGAAGACAAATGCAACTATGGCATTTATTTCAAGAGGACTTGAATATAAAAGCAGGGATGTACTACTGAGGCTCGATAAGGCTTTGGTTAGGCCACATTTGAAGTGTTGTGTGCAGTTTTGGGCCCTATATCTCAGGAAAGGTGTACTGGCCCTAGAGCGGGTTCAGAGGAAGTTCATGAGAATGGTCCCAGGAATGAAAAGCTTAACATATGAGGAATGTTTGAGGACTCTGGGTCTATACTCAATGGAGTTTGGAAGGATGAGGAGGGATCTAATTGAAACTTACAGAATACTGAATAGCTTGGACAGAGTGGATGTTGGGAAAAATTTTCCATTGGTAGGAGAGACCAGGACCCAAGGGAACAGACTTCGAGTAAAGGGAAGACCTTTTAGAACAGAGATAAGGAGAAACTTCTTCAGCCAGAGAGTGGTGAATCTATGGAATTCACAGCCACAGAAGACTTTGGAGGCTAGGTCATTGAGTATATTTAAGACAGAGATAGATAGGTTCTTGATTGTCAAGGGGATCAAGGGTTACGGGGAGAAAGCAGGAGAATGGGTTTGAGAAACTTATCAGCCATGATTAAATGGCGAAGCTAACGCAATGGGCTGAATGGCATAATTTCTGCTCCTGTCTTGTGGTATCAACATGAGCCAGAGTCTGAACTGTACAAGGCCATAAGGTGCTTTATATTATAACCTCGTGGGTTTAGATCTTTATACATAAATGTAATCACGGCATCCATATGTCTTGCGCGTCACAATGATATCTGTGGGTATTTGTTGATGTTTGATCAGTTGCTTTATATGTAAAGCATGGAATGTGGGCCTTGGAGGAGAAGATTCCATAGTTCAGGATAGAAGCTGGCTGGAACAGCTGGATAGGGGATCCATATTAGTGCTTTTTGTATATATTCCATTGACCTTCATAGAGTCATACAGCATGGAAACAGACCCTTCAGTCCAACCAGTCCACGCTGACCATGTTCCCAAACTAAACTAGTGACACTTGCCTGCATTTGGCCCATATTCCTCCAAACCTTTCCTATTGATGTTCTCATCCACATGTCTTTTAAATATTGTAATTGTACCTGCATCCAACACACCAACCACTCCGTATAAGAAGTTGCCCCTCGTTTCCTTTTTAAATCTTTCTCCTCTTGTCTTAAAAATATGCCCCCTAGTTTTGTAGTCCCCCACTCTAGGGAAAAGACCCTTGCTGTTCACTTTGTCTGTACCACTCATGATTTTATAAACCTCTACAAGGTCACCCCTCAACCTCTTACGTTCCAGTGAAAAAAGTCCCAGCCTATTCATAAGTACTAACTTGCTAAGCTACATTCTACATGACTCTTGGATTCCCAGGTGATGAGAAATTGCTGCGCTCGGATGCCATGTAGATGCCACCAGTGATTAAGAGGCACGTATTGTTTCTATGTATAAGAAGCTGCTAACACCCATTGCCTTGTGACTCGTTTCATGATTAGTCAGCAAGATATCATCACTCACGCTCAGAGTTGCCGGCAATCCTTGTTGCCAAATCGTGATTATCGGGTCGGATCTGGAACGATCCGAGAAACAGCCTACACGTGAAATTAGAACATTCCAGAATTGTTCCCTGCTGGTTGAACTATGATCAACACTTCTCACTCAGCGACCATTTTATTTTTAATTTTTGTGAGATGAATGATTCAGCTTCAGAATTTGATTATCAAGCTTTCCCAAATTATCACAGCCAGCACAAAACTCACCTCTTCACGTGCTCAGTGCCAACTGATAACTGAAAGCTGAGAATTAGGATCCTCTGTGGCATCAAATCCACATTTGACGGAGTGTGGCATCAAGGACCCTGAATAAAACTGGAATCAAAGGGTATCAGGAGGCAAACTCTCTGCTGGTTGGAGTCATGATAACTGTGGTTGTTGGAGGTCAGTCATCTCAGCTCCAGGACATCTCTGCAGGAGTTCCTCAGGGTAGTGTCCTAGGCCCAACCATCTTCAGCTGCCTCATCATTGACCTTCCCTCCATCATAAGGTCAGAAGTGGGGATGTTCGCCGATGATTGCAGTGTTCAGCACCATTCACTCGGCAAACAGGAAAACGGGGGTGGGGTGAATCTATTAAGTGAGAGCACTATAGCCTGAGTGATGGTACTTGCTGCCAGTCTACCAACCAATGCCACAATTTGTGGGCACCTGTGGATAGATGAGTTGGGCTGGCTGCAATAATGTCTAGTTAGGGTCTCTTCCTGACATTGCCTTGATTGAACAGAAAAGACCCCAAGAGGATTACCCTGAATAAGTACGTTGGCAGTTCTAACCCCATTGGCTTGGAGGGTTGGCGTGGGGGGGAGGTGTTTAGGTACCTATCTGTCCATGGAAGCTCCTCCCCCACTTCACATCTACCTCACACCCCCCACCAGCCTCCTCCCCCCGCTCCCTCCCAACTGGAGAGATCTCACACATACCTAAATATCTGGGTCCAATATTGAATGCCACACTTGCCGTACCCACTATGGCCACTGCTTCTACCTGGCACTGCCAGTATCCAGACTGACAGCTCCATGAGGCAGGACATCTTCCTAAAAATGGATGGAATCCCATCTTCTCTACCCCCCCACCCCACCCCCAACCCCCATACCAACTAGAAGGCCATCATGTGAAAGTTTAAAGTTGGATGAGCTGGCTAAGTGGAACCGGGTTCATTCCAAGAATTTGCTCGGTTGCGTGAGTGAGGCATGTAAATTCTGGACCCAGTATCTCCTGCCCACATGCAGCAAGACCTGGACAATGTCTAGAATGGAGCCCATAATTGACACGTAGGGTGCGTGCCACACACATTCCAGGCAGTGACCACCTGCAACGAAAGAGAATCTAACCATCACTTGTTGGGGTTCAATGGTGTTACCATCACTGAATTCCTCACTATCAATATCCTGGGGATTACTATTGACCAGAACCTGAACTGGACCAGCCACATCAGTACGATGGCTACAAGAGCAGGTCGGAGGCTGGGAATTCTATTGTAGGTATCCCATTTCCTGACTCCCTAAAGCCTTTCCATCATCTACAAGTCAGGAGTGTCGTGGAATACTCCCCACTTGTCTGGATGGGTACAGCTGCAGCAAGTTCGACACCACCCAAAGTAAAGCAGTCTGTTCACCCAATACACCATATGCAACCTTTACTCCCTCTTCCACTGACACACAGTAGCAGCATTGTGTACCAACTACAAGAAGCAACTTCACTAAGGCTCTTTTAGCAGCACCTTCCAAACCCATGACCACTTCCAACTATAAGGACAAGGGCAGCAGATACATTGGAATACAGTCACCTGCAAGTTCCCCTCCAAGCCACTCCCCACCCTGATTTGGAAATATATCGCCGTTCCTTCGGTGACATTGAGTCGAAGTCCTGGAACCTCCTCTCTAACTGCACTGTGGGAGAGCTTGAATCACCAGGACAGCAGCAGTTTGGGAAGGTAGCTGGCTTCAAGTTAGAATTTCAAGACCAAAGCCTAGAGAGCTTCATTCCCTGGTCCGAAGCAAATAAAATGAATTAAACATTTTTAAATCCCAAATGTTCACTGAAAATAAGACAGGTCCACGGGGCCTCAGGATGTCCATGTGGAAAATGGAGAAAGTAAATCTATATTTCAACATCAGAAGGGACAATGGCGTAGAGGGCATTAAGTTGCAGTTGAACAAGCTGATGCCTTTATTGAGCTGGGGGACTGAACTGTGTCAGCCTGATGGCCCTTTTCTAATCTTGGGCTGTTATTTCCTGTTTTTTGTGAATGACTTAGTGCTAAGAGTGGCCACGAGAAGCAAGATTTCCATTTTCCAGCACCTTCACAGTGGCACTCAGTGCTTTATAATAAACAACAGTCAGGCTTATTACAACTTCTGTCTTTCAAGGGAGATGATTACAGCCTTCACTGTCAGTAGCTCCACTTGGTGATCAATCAGTGGGTGTGACCAGCACCTCCTGCAGGGCACAGAGGTTATAGCTTTGCTCTATCTCGCCTTGTTTTCTTTCTGCTTCAACTACTCTCTTATCCTGTAGAAACACCAGAAGGCTGCCTTGTTTGTACAGTCCAAACTTCTCAGGAAGCCCAGCCATCACCGTTGCCGGTGCCCCATCTCACTGTGTCCACTCTCATCTCCGCTGCTGCTGAAGAAGTTGAAGGTGTTAAACCAAGCCCCCAGCCTGTGTTGAAGTGCCTGTCTGTGCCCCCGAAGCCAATCTGCTGGAGCAAGAATGTGGAGCGTAAGTTGCGTGCTGATGTTGCTAACGATGTGTTGCTTATGCTGAGAATCCTGGACGATTATGTCAATCTTCAAAGGAGAGAGAGAGAGAGAGACAGGAGAGAGAAGAAGAGAGAATGAGAGCAAGGGAGACAGCCTAGCTTAATTTCTAACCATTAAGTTAATACAGTGCAACCATTTGTTGTTCCTCTTTATTATGTGCAGGTCTATTATAATCAATAAGCAAATTGGATTCTTACTCAAAGCCTTTACTGCATGGAGTTTCTATGAGTTAGGGGACGCAGAGCTGCAAATTCTTTCCTTAAGATCTTCTGTCCCTGTAGAGAATGACCTTTAAGAAGTCTTTCTGGGGATCTTCCTCTGCAGTTTACAGAACATGATACGAAAGTGTCTCCTGTTATAAATTATCTAACTGGGTTTGTGGGGGAGAAACCCATCAGCTTCAAGCCCAATTTGCTTGATTAGTGTCACTGGATTCAGTATCCACTCCTGCCAGCCTGTAGCACCTAGCAAATGCATTGTGGGAACTCCCTGAGACTACGTTGACAGCACACTACCCCCCTTTGAACTCTGTCACACAGAAGGGCAACAGCACCAATCGCACGTGAACACAATCTCCTCCGAGTTTCCTTCAATGACACAGAGCCACCCTAACCGAGGCAAAGAATGAAACAGCATTGATGGAGACCATCATGACTGTGCTGGTGATCGAAATAGTGTACACTCACGTGTTCTGATCTCACCGTGAATTCTTTTTTCCTCTCCCTTTGGAAAATTACAATTGAACTGGCTTCTCCCACAATTTTGGACCATGGATCACCATTCTTTTACTGTCACTACCTCATAATCCTCTACTGTAGCAGCACCTTCACTATAAGGATGGCCACAGGTCAGTGCCACCATCTCAAGGGTAACTAAGGAAAGGCAGTAAACAACAACATTGACACCCATATCCCAAAGAGAAATATTTACCTCTTTTAACAGTGTGTCGATGTGAATGACAACTAAGCCTAATTATGCGTGAAGGTTGAACTTGTTTTAAATAAAAGGCAAGGTATATATTGCAGAGAATGAATGATATTCCCTTCAGTAAAACCCGCCTCAGCTTCTGCTTTTGATGGATGTGATTAAAGTATTTAAATTAGCATGGAAACATCTTCACTTTGTCTTGCTTTGCGTTTGTTTGGTTTTGGCTGATTGTGCAAACTATTTTACAGACTAGAAGACATAGGATGAAAATTAGGCCATTTGGCTCATTGGATCTGCTCCACTATTCATTAAGATCATGGCTAATATGAGAATCCTCAACTTCACTTGCCTGCCTTTTCTCCTACAACCCTTGATTAAAAATCTGTCTGTCTCAGCCTTAACAACCCAGTGTCAACAGCTCTCTGCGGTAAAGAATTCCACAGATGACTACTCTCTGAGAGGAAAACTTCCTCCTTATTGTTGTGTACACTAGGTGACCCCTTAATCTGGTCCAAGCCTCTCCCACAAAGGGAAAAGACTTTTCTGCGTCTCTCTTTTGAGCACCATCCCCCGCTAAGGATCGTGTATGTTTTAATAAATTTGCCTCTCGTTCTTCTATATTCCACTGAGTTTCAGCCTAATCTACTTGACTTCTCCTGATTCCCTCCAGATCTGGGATTAACCTAGTGAACATTCTGTGTGTTGCCTCCAATGCCAATTAGATAAAGGAACCAAATATTCACAGTATTCTAGCTGCAGTCTGAATACTGCCTTGTATCGTTTTAGCTAAATCTCCCTATTTTCATATTCCATTCCCATTGAAATAAAGGCCAACATTCCATTTGCCCTCCACTGAACTTTGATGCCAACTTTCTGTGATTAATTCACAAGACCTCCCAAATCCCTCTGTGCTGTGGCCTTCTGCAGTCTTTGCCCATTTAATTCACTTATTCAGCTCTTCTTTTCTTCCTGCCAAGTGGCATCGCCTCCCTCTGTCCCACACTGGCCCTGGCCACTATGCTAGACAACAAGGTGCAGGGCTGGATGAACACAGCAGGC